ACCTCAAACGATATTAGAGGCTTACAGTGTTTTAAGACTTTAGAAATTTTGTGGGGCCATATTGCTTTCAATAATTGGAATATGCCCTCGAACAGAGCAATGAAGTCTTAAATAATATCAGCTTTTTTTCGTGGATTCTTTTATTTGACGGTTAATAACAGTTTAGAGGAAGCTTTTCTTTTTTTTCTTTTTATTAATGATTTCACGGGTTAAATCACTAACTCCATCGTCATCGTTGTCGTTTTCCGATTTGTGGTTTGAGATTTTGTGTCCTTCGGTATTTATTATGTAAGTGCATACATAATGTGGGGGAAAAGTGTATATAAATGAATATTAAATTCAGGATTAACTCCTTCTATATTACACAAACTCTTTACCTTAATAAGTTAATTTGTGATTTGTTTTTTCGTGAAATTCTGAAGTGACTACTTTTTAATTGAAATGGGTAAATATAAAAAGTGGAAACTTAAAAGAAAAAAAGGTTTCTTTAGGTTTTGATTTTCTTTTTGGAAGGATGTAAAGTTATTCAAAAATAAAAATTCTACGGTGGTAAAGGGCCAAAGCTAAGCTTAAAGGTGGAAAGTGTGGTGGCAAAATAATAGAAACAAAATGTTTTTGGAGAATTAGCTAAGAGCCAATATTCAAGTGGGAAGTAAAATTGGTCCTTATATGACAAAAATGTCTTTTTTTTCATATTATTATATATTCGAAATATCTACCATATTATTTTTTTATAGCTTTTCTTTCTAAAAAAATAATAATTACTTTTGTAGAGTCTTTTTCTTTAAATATATATATATATATATATATATATATATTTTTTTTTCATTCATGAAATTGAAAGTGGAATTTTTCTTAAAAAAAAAAACTAAGCTCATTATTATTTTGTCATAAAGCTTAATATATTTAGACCAATCTTATGACAAACTACCCGTGATCATCAATGGTATTTGATGACATGATACAAAATGATAAAAAGAATTAAACAAAAATTAAAAAATGTATTGACCAATTATAATAAATAGATAGTAGAATATGAATGATAAAAAATTTCAAGTAATTCACTTATGACACTCATGCTCAAGCTTACATGTGTGTTATGATTTACGGTATTTAAATGTGTATTTGGAAGACTAGTTAATGATGTTGATGAAAGGGGGTGTTTCTTATTCCAAAATCAGGCGGAAAAAAAAAAAACAAGGAAAAAAAACTATTTTTTTGTTTTATTTTTTTATCTAACTTATTTGAGATGTTAACCCATTTTGAAATATGTTTTGTAAATAATAAATCTCACTTCAAAATATATGAATTATATTTTATCTGTAAATAAATAAACATATGACCATAGTAGTTATTTAACTCTGATTAGGCCAATCTCAGCTATCAAGTCACTAGGATGAACGAATTACGAAGCATCCATAACCTCCAAATTGCATAGTGCTCGCATGCAAGTGGACAAACTCCTGAACATGTTGAACCACAGACACAGCAGCAAAGTGGTTGTGACGGTGACTCCTCTTGGTCTAATCTTAATCTATGTGTAGTAGAAAAAAAAATCTAATAATAGTTAATTTTGAGTTAAAAAAATCTTTTTTTTTTCTAATTCAATCGAAAAAAATATAAATAAATAAATCTTTCTTCCATATAAGAACTCTCTGGAATGTATTTGATAAAACATTTTACTAACGTGCAACTAGTTTCATTGCTTATAAAACATTTTACTAACGTGCAACTAGTTTCATTGCTTCAAATAAATATTGTTTGGATGATGAGCTTTAATTAGCTCTGCAAAATCAAATATTTTTGGAATAATTTTTTTTAATTCACAATTTGATTCATAAATGTCTTAAGTAACTAAAAATCATGAAATTATTTTCTAAAAGAAACCTAATTAAAGAATATTGTATCTTCTAGCACAAAAGAGGAATATTTGTTATAGTATAAAATTGTATAGAAGATAGTCTAAAATTGTTTTTATTTGAAGTATAAAAATTATTTTCTTTTTCTCTTGTTACAAGTGAAAAACTCAACAATAGAATACAACTTTAAATATTGTGTAATTTATGATTGATTTAAATAAAATAAAAAAAACTTTCTTCCTAAGTTAAATATAAAAATATCTAATGATTGATTTTAAAAAAAAAATCTTCGTAAGTTTGTTTGTTTTTGTAATTCAATTGATCTGTAGTGATTTGTATTAAAAGGGTTAATGGTGTGGTTTGATTCGATTTTATACTAAATTATTATTCAGATTAAATATAAAATTTAAATTTGATTTGGTTTGATTCAAATTTTATTTTAAAAAATTTTAAACAAAATTAAAAAATATTTTATAATTTGATTTAAATGATTTTATAATTTTATTATAAAATTATTGAATATATCATAATAAAATAATTATTTGATAAATATATTATAAAAATATTATGTATAATTAATTATAATATTTATATTCTCAATTTATTTCTATATTTTATCTAAAAAATGACAATAAATATCTGAAATTATAAAAAATAATTAATTTTATTTATAATAAATATTATCATTTTATATTTTAATTTTAATAATATATATTATAATTTTGATTTGATTCTATTTTAATTGATTTTAGTGTTAAATAAAAATTGAATTGATTTAAATCGATCCATTTTAAAATCTTTTAATCACTAAATAAAAAATTAAAAAAAAAACCCAATCTTGACGAGTTTTGATTTTATATTTGAATTAGGAAAACTTGAACGTGTGATGACTACACTAGTTTGCTTCTTTTGATCCTAGTCCTTGTGAGGGGAATGAAAATGAAAATAGCAAATAAAAAAAAATGATTTTGCCTCCATGTTTGAGATAAGTTTATTATTTAGATATTTTTAGTAGTTATTTGTTCTGCATTTGGTTATTCAGCGTTTATTTGCCACCATAACTAACATATTAGTTAGAGGTGGTAAACAATAACTAATACTTCAGATGTGCATCCTTCTAATAGGCGAATCCAACTCTTAAACCATACTACAACCTCCGGTAACAAAAAATCGACGTTAAAGTATCAAACCTTATAATTGATGTAAAGTCTTTAGAAAAACTTAACCTGTTATCCTTAGACTTTTATCCATTATGAGATGAACATATAGATAATAATTTTTAAATATTTTTTATTAAATAACTTTTTGAATACAAATTGTTAAAGAAAATTTATTTTTAAGTAGTTTGTTATTAAAGGTGAGTTAAATAATAACTTTTGTATTTTTTAAACCTTTGCTCTCAATTTTATATTATTACAAAATTAATAGCTACGGTAATTGTGTAGTATTTCTCAAACTTTAATTATTATTTTTATTTGAATTATTGATTAATTCAATTAAATGGTATAATATCTGTAACCTTTTTTTAAGTGAATATTTACAAACTCAAACATTAAAATTAATTAATATCTATATAAAATATAGTTAAAAAACTAAGTTTAAAAGAAATTTTGAGAACATTATTTTCGTCAATTTTTTCTTTTTTAATTTAATTCCAACGTGTATAATTGATATCCAACTTTTGTTTTCCTTTTCTTCACGTCTTTTAATATTGCATTCAGGCTCTTCTCCCTCTCCATCCTTTGTAAAAATATTATTCGGTCTAATTGAAATGAAATCATCAACTATTTTAATTGAAATTGGCACATTGTTATTTAATATACACAAAACAAATACAAAAATTTAAATTAAAATAAAATCTATAATAATTAAAAATTATTTATTTAAATTATTTTATGATAAAATAATATATTATTAATAAATAATAAATAAATATTAAAAAGTAAAAAATATAAAAAATAAAGATAAAACTTATAAATATACAATTAAATATATTTAATGTTTTAAGATAAAAATCATATATATATATATATATATATATATATATATATATATTAATAAAGGTTCTAAATTTTTTTAGAAAAAACATCTCTCTGTCTAAAAAAAGTCCACTGCTTATTTCAATATTAATATTTTTTATGGATTTCTTCCTCAAAATCATTATCTCTAATATTCTATTTTCATCACCAAATTCTTCCATTAAAATCAATGATTTTTTTTTTCTCATTTTCAAATGCCAGAAGCTTCATAACTGATGCATTATCTTATCATATAAATAGTAGCAATGTATTGTGTGTTTTTTTTTTATTAAATATATAAGATTTTATTTTAGTTTTTACTTTATTTCCACCATGAAATGTTTTCCTATATTATATCAATTATAACTGTATTTTATAGTTTCAATTTTATTTTCCAAATAAAGGAAAAAAATCATTTGCCTATATCTATAAAATTCTAAAATTAAAAAGTAATAATCTTAAATTGAGTTACAATATGAATGCAATTCATATTGTAATATTAATAATATTCATATTGATTAAAATTTTAGCAATGTGTATGTTTGTTATGCAAAAATTTGGAAGGATAAAAATCCCATAGAAATAGACAATTACACGTATATATATATATATATATATATATTTTTTTTTTCCTTTAGTTTTAAAAATATGAACAACAACAAAAGCATATTTTCTCGTTTTTTTTATTTTAATCATCTAATTATATATATATATATATATATATATATTTTACAAATTTCATCATTTTTTTTTCTTTAGTTAACTTTTTTTTTTTAACTTTAACATAGTTTACCAATTCATTAAATATTGTCGTACTAATGTGTAAAAAATATATATAAAAATTGTTTTATAGCATGTCATTATTTTTCTAAAAATAATAATTAATAAAATATATATTAAATTCATGGTAAAATATATAAACAGAATTGGACGACAGATTCATGAAATAACAGAAGTTGCGCAAATGAGTATCTAACTATTTTTTAAATAAATAAAATCATTCAAGACCTAAAAAACTATATAATACTTTTTTCTTTTCTTTTCTTTTTTTTCTTTAAACTGTAGATTGAGTTAAAACAATAAAATAGCGTAAGACTTGTACCATCGCCGTTGGGCACACACCATGGAGCTCGACCTCCGTTCAATCCTTCACTCTCCCACCTCCTCGTCCTCCTCCGACGCCGACACCGAAGCCGACGCTCCTCACCGCACCATTGATGATATTCTCAACGACTGTGACACTTCCTCTTCCTCATCATCTCCACCTTCCTCTCCCTCTCACTCCCCTTCTTCACTCACCAATTCTCATCCCCAAAACCCCACTCTTCAACCAAAACCACTCCAACCCGCACTCGATTCACTTTCTCGGGTCAAACCCGCCGAATTATCTGACCGCACACGCGTTTCGCGCCCGTTCTCTTCTCTATTACAGGGCGTTCGGTCCAATGCGAAGCCCGGCGCCGCGCTCGCTGCGGCAGCAGCGGCGTCTCGATCCGTTCCCACGCCGCACGCGGCGGCGATTATTTCCAGAAGAAAATCCGCGGCCGCGATCAGCTCCGAGTCAAGTTCGATCGCTGCCGCAGGCGACGATTATTCCGATGTTTCTTCCAAAGGCGAATTGGGTGAGCCTAGCGAGAAATTCGATCCTGTGCCGTGGAAAATCGTGACTCAGTCTAGTGAAACTACTTCTGTTAACGGCGAACGTTTTGAGAGAGATGTAGAAATTGTCAACGATTTGAAGGCTGATAGTGCCGCTGACAATCAGGTGCTTAGTGATAGTGGTAATGATAATGGTGATGGTAATAATGACAGTAATGGTAATGATAACGATTCTTCTATAGTGAGTGAGGAGAAGAGGATTTTAGATGAGGTTGACGGTGATCATGGGAAAGATACGAGTTCTGCACCGTTTGATGATGATGATGATGTTGATGTTGGTGACTTGGATGGGAATGATGGTGCTGATGAGAGAATCACAGCTACGGATTCAGCTATGGAAACAGAAGAAACGTTGAACAATGGTAGCAGTTCTATGGAAGATGTTAAGAATGAGATGAATGGTGGCGGTGGTGATGAGGGTAGTTCATTGGGTGATATTTCTGAGCTAGTGGAAGAGAGGCTTGAGGAATTGGAAAGCAGAAGGGCTGCTAAGAGAGAAGAGAAGAAACGAGAGTCTTCAATGAAACCACTTGAATTGGCTGAAGAACTGGAGAAGAAGCGAGCTTCAACTGGTTCGTATTTGGAAGAGGGTGCCGCTGCCCAGCCAATGAGGCTGGAGGGCGTTCGGAGAGGGTCCACGACATTAGGATACTTTGATGTTGATGCTGATAATGCTGTCACGAGGGCTATTTCGTCCCAAACATTCAAGCGTGAGCAAGGTTCTGCCCGAGCCTTGGCAGTGCATGCTAATTATATTGCAGTAGGAATGTCAAAGGGGCTCATTGCTGTCTTTCCCAGTAAATATTCCATTCATCATGCTGACAACAATGATGGAAAGGTTGGTTCTGATTCAATCAGACTCTTCTGATCTAACTCAAGTTCATTGCTCAATGAATTATGGAAATTTAATTTACATCCTTGCCTGCAAAAATTACTATTTGCCCTCAATGCTCTCTATTATATGATATAGTGAATTATTGACTTTCCGCCATTTTCTGCCTTCTATAATTGACAACACTGTCTAGTACAATGAAAGTGCTGGAGGCTGCAATGAAGGCAAACCAAATAGGATGCAATTAAGGTGGCTTTCCAACACAACCCTCATGCCAAGGGCTATGGGCTTGGAGCGTGAACAATGCTAGTTGCCCAGCAATGGATCTAGGGTAGACTTTCAAAATGATCTTCAAATTTAGACTTAGGCTAAATTCAGTTCCAAACCAACTTATAAGGTGAGGAGCCTTATAAGAACTAGTTTGGTCATGTCTCTAGGCAATATGATTATTACAATGAAGGCAGACCAATGAGGCTGCAATTAAGGCGAGTTAGGAGTACCATAATTAAGATGACTTTCCAATAGTATTATTATGTTTAACAATGCACAAGGTTTTTCGTTCTTATTTTTGATAAAAATAGGGGAAAAAACCTTGTCTCCCAACACATGCACACATAATTAATCATGCAGTATTAAGGCACTCTTTAAATGATCACTAGGTAATGCACAAATCAGTAATACTGATGCTTACAATTTCAAGCATTTATGTGATTGAGTTTTGGTATCATCAACTGTTACTCCATTTATCAATATATGTTGTTTACATGTTAGATGTTGATGCTTGCTGTACAAGGTGATCGGTTGCGTGCTGCAGTGACATCCATGTCTTTCAATCAACAAGGAGACCTTCTTTTAGCTGGTTATGGTGATGGTCATCTTACCCTGTGGGATGTACAGAAAGGTGTCGTGGCAAAAGTTATTAGTGGTGAGCATACAGCACCAGTAGTACATACCTTATTTCTAGGACAAGATCCTCAGAATACTCGACAATTTAAAGCAGTTACTGGTGATTGTAAGGGTCTGGTTCTCTTGCACATTATCTCAGTGGTTCCTTTGGTTCCTTTGTTTAGTAGATTCTCAATCAAAACTCAGGTATCTGACATTTTTCATTAATGTGCAATGGGCTGGGTGAATTTAACATCCAATAATCTCACATTTCTCTTTGTGAACTTGGGTTGATATTGTAGTGTCTTCTTGATGGACAAAGTACAGGCTTGGTGCTTTCAGCTTCACCACTCCTTTTTGATGACTTCAGTGGAAGTGCTTCACCTTTTTCTCAGGGAAACACCTCAGCCCCAGCCAGCAGTATAAGCAGCATGATGGGTGTTGTTGGAGGAGATGCAGGGTGGAAACTCTTCAATGAAGCCCCTTCTATGGTGGAAGAAGGTGTGGTTGTATTTGTAACCCATCAAACTGCATTGGTGGTAAGGAAATCTGATGATTGTGCTGGTTTGACGTACTTTTTGTGCTGTACTTTTTCCTTCAGATTTGTTGAGACTTCTTCTGCATTGCTTAACCAGATACTAAATCTTTGTTATAGGTACGGCTGAGCCCTACATTGCAAGTCTATGCTCAACTCTCTAGGCCTGATGGGGTTCGGGAGGGTTCTATGCCATATACTGCATGGAAATACATGACACAAGCACATAGTTCTACTGGTACGATTCATTTCAATATAAATTTAATTGATGTTGACTTGTTTCTAAATATTTCTTGCTATTGTAGAAAATATGTCTGCAGAAGCTATTGAAAGAGTTTCATTGCTTGCAATTGCCTGGGAACGGAAGGTTCTAGTTGCAAAGTTGGTTAAATCAGAATTAAAAGTATATGGAAGATGGTCTCTGGAAGGTGCAGCTATAGGTCTAGCATGGTTGGATGATCAGGTATGTCGTCTTCTGTCCTTGCATGAGCTAGAAGTTTGGTCACTTTTTTGTGTGTGTGGGTGTGTACTGTCTTGCTTCCTTTTACACTTCCTGCTGTATCTCTTCGCTTCTCAGCTACAAGGGTAGTTAAAGGGATATTTTCTTGCTCAGATGCTGGAAGTTCAAACTTCGAGTGGACATCTGTATTTATTTTCCAAGGATGGAACTGTGATTCACCAAACAAGTGTTGCCGTAGATGGTATTGGAGGAGATGATCTAGTCTCTTATCATACTCATTTCATCAATGTATTTGGAAATCCTGAGAAAGCTTATCATAACTCTATTGCTGTAAGAGGAGCTTCTATTTATATACTTGGTCCAACACATCTTCTTGTTTCTCGTCTTCTACCTTGGAAAGAGCGCATTTCTGTTTTGCGGAAAGCAGGTGACTGGATGGGTGCCTTGAACATGGCAATGACTCTTTATGATGGTCATGCGCATGGGGTTATTGACCTTCCTAGAACCATGGATGCCGTACATGAGGCCATAATGCCCTTCTTAGTGGAGTTGCTTACATCATATGTTGATGAAGTGTTCTCCTATATTTCAGTGGCATTCTGCAACCAAATAGGTAAACAGGACCAATCGAATGATTTAAATAGTAGAAGCAATTCAGTACATGGTGAGATAAAGGAGCAATACACTCGTGTTGGTGGGGTTGCTGTTGAATTTTGTTGTCATATCAAACGGATGGACATTCTTTTTGATGAAATTTTCTCTAAGTTTGTGGGTGTTCAACAGCGAGGTAACCTGTTATCTTAGCGATGTGTGGTACTATATTATTAAGAAGGTTTCTCTTTTCATTTCATTTCTTGTTTTGATCCTTGTCAGCATCAACTTCAATTATTTCTTTTGGTTAAGAACTTGTTTTAATCTCATAAGTCTTGGATTTTTTTAAATTGATGTGGGATAGCTCTGAAAAGGGGATGCAGATAAAAAAAATAATTCATTGTAAATTTGTAATTTCATGTTGATAAAAGTTCATTCTTTACTAACCAAAACCTATGCTTGAAATGCTTGGTATCCAATAATTAAAATTTTCTCTCCATGATTGAAACAAATGCTCAGTATTTAAAACATGAAAAAACCAAAAATATTGTTTCCTTTATATAATCTTCTCTCTGGCAATCCTAAGAATATTATTGTAATCTATTATGATCTGAATAATGTTATCTCAGTAATATATTCATTTTTATCAGTTGGCTTAAAATATTTTGTTGAAAATTTAGATCTAAATAATACCTCTAACACTTGGTCTATCCTCTATCTATTCAACGTTTTTATTAGGGCTTCTATTTATCTTATCACTTGGCCAATCCATCTTAGATGCAATTATACAAATATTTCTTAATGGCTCAATCTGTGTTATTCCTACTCTCTCTTTGATGCATTTATTTGTGATCTTAGCTGCTGGATTCTTTTCTTTGCAACATTGAGCTTATGCTCTTATTGGCACTTTACTTCCCAGATGCCAAACATTCAGTATCAAACAAAGACCCTAAAAGAATCATGAAAGAAAATTATTTGAATATTCATTTGAAATGATTACATTGTCATCAACACTTTAACTCTCTTACTTCTCTTTCATTAATGGTTCCACTAATTAGTTAAATGGATGTTGTAATAAAACTATTTTTCACAATTGATAAATTGATTTTACTTGCATCGGTAAAGATGAATAGTTTGTGTAAACTCTCTTTTCCAACTTCAAAAGGATAACAGTGCAAATACTTCATAATTTTTTCCAGAAACATTTTTGGAGCTTCTGGAGCCATATATTTTGAAAGACATGCTTGGATCTCTACCTCCTGAGGTATAGGCTTATGTCAGGTTTTTTTACATAGTTTAATGCTACATTATCAATATTATCTTTTTGACTTTTCAATTTATATTCTTAGTTGTTTGTTCTTACACTATCTTTTTCCATTTATGTGTTTTGCATTTTTCTCTAGATTATGCAAGAACTGGTAGAGTATTATAGTACCAAAGGGTGGTTACAGCGGGTTGAGCAATGTGTACTTCACATGGATATATCATCCTTGGATTTTAATCAGGTTCTTGTTAGATATTTCGAAGCAATTTTTCATGTCATTATTTTTTTATAGCAAAACTGTCACATGTTTACTTTGAGACTTTCTTTAGGTTGTCAGATTATGCCGGGAGCATGGACTATATAGTGCCCTGGTGTATGTCTTCAATAAAGGATTAGATGATTTTAGGGCACCTCTGGAGGAGCTGTTTGCTGTCTTACAAAATAGCCAAAAGGAAATTGCTACTGCACTTGGGTATGCTTCCATGTCTATTATTCCAGCATATCCTTATTTTGCTTTCTCTATATCCATGTATGCCAAATCAATTGAGAAAGCCAATATGGATTTGTGAATTTTGTCGATTTTGTTTGTACCCTCGCAAGTTAAAATAATATGCGAAGTCACCTGAGAATGTCAATATGAACAGTGTAACTATGAGTATAGTAAGAGAACAAACTGGGATGGTGGCAGTGCTAGTAATCTAATTAATGATGGGAATCTCTCTAAAACTTCCTAGTTCTAACATTACTCCAACTTCCCATGGAAAAGGTAAAGAAAAAGGAAAAAAAAAATACCATTTCTTATTGATTGGTATCCAGTAATTGCAAAAGAAAGATTATATAGAAAATGTACTTGAATCTTGCATGAAGCCTTTATAAAACATTTTTAGACATAAATTTTAATAAAAGATTGGTTTGATTACAATTTATCATTGGCTCTCTCTGTAATGTGTACAAGAAAACGGACAGTAGTTTATACACTAAGCGGATTTTAGAGAAAGCGTGAATTGAAAGAGGAAAGATTTACATTAATGATATTCTGATTCTCAACAGAGAGCTCTGGTATTTATATTACAGAGATTAGAAGCAGTTTCTGTGACTGTCTGCAATAGAAATGACTGATTGGATAACTAGCTACAGCTGACAGATTAATCTACTGCTTACAATAGAAGCTAAAACCCTTAAGATAATATACAATCACATTAGGGTGAGAGCTGTGATCAGCTTAGAACTCTGAGTTTGTCTCTTAGATTGCAGAACTTAGCCTTTGAAAGAGGCCTGATGAGGACATCAACAACTTGCTCTTGAGCAGGATCACATGATCAACAATGAGAGACATATTGAGAACCTTCTCCTGGACAATAAATTATCAAGCTGTGTGTTTGGTCTGAGAGTGAAGCACAAGATTGTGACTCAGAACTGAAGTACTCTGATTGTCATAGTAGATGATGGGAGTGAAAAGTGAAACCTTAAGCTTATGCAGAAGGGATTGAAACCCAAATAAGTTTAGAAGGTGCCAAGGCTAAGGTGCTGTATTCTGTTTCAGCACTTTATCTAGCATGAGATATTTGCTATTTAGACCACCCTGAAACGAAATACTGCCCAAGAAAGAGACAAGTTCCTGAGGTGGATCTTCTATATCCACAACATGCCCAATTAGCATCGCAAGACGCATTCGAGCTGGGAAGAGGCAGCCTGGAGAACAAGTCCAAAATCAGAGGTGCCTTGAAGATACCAAAGGGTTTTGACATGAACTGATACACCTTGTGGACAGCATACCGATTGTCAGGTCTTGTAGTATTGGGGTACTGCAAGGCACCAACTATAGATCTATAGTGAGCAGGATCGTACAAGAAATCAGATCCATTGCAATAATGTTTTATATTTGCAGGCAAATGTGTAGAAATGCCATTGGCTGCAGCCATGTGAGTCCTATGCGGCAGAATCACACATATAGCTTGGAACAGAATTGGGGAACCTGTGGAGGTTCTTCACCTCAATGCCAAGAAAATAATCCAGGTCACCAAGTTGTTTTAAAGCAACTAAGGAGTTATTTTTGGTGATCTGGTTTTGCACCAAAGTAGAGAGGAACCAACTAGGATGCATGAATATGATACATCATTACTATTGAAAGGATTAGTGACAAAACAAGTCATGGAGAATGGTATCATCCTGGAACTTTGTTGAGAAGAAAGGAAATGAGGAGAAATATAATGAGTTTTCTTATTTATAATGAAAAAGAGATACCATAAAGGAACAAAATCAATATGTAATAATGGGAAATATTTGGTTGGAATATTTCTCTGTCAAATTATATCATTTAATGTAATGACATCATATTTCTAACACTCTTAAGATGGAGCATATGTATTATATAAGACAAGCTCGTTACAGATGTCATTTATACAATACTCCTGGAGGGAATCACAAGAGTTGATAAAGTAAATAATTAACAAATGATAATTTTAACACTCCCTCTCTAAATGGAGCATATGTATATGAGATAAGTTTGTTACAAAATGTTCGAGGGCATGGCAGAAAAACATCAACGGTGAGAACAATACATGATGGCAGTAAACAGTACCCACTAGATAAATGTCATGGGTGCACAATACCTGCTAGAAAACATTGACAGTGAACAATACCTGCTAGAAAACTTCCATGACAAACAATACCCCAAAAATAAGTCGACGATGAACAATACCTATGAAGAAAACATCGGTAGTGAACAACATTGTTGAAAAAATGTTGATGGTAAATAGTGCTACCCACTAGAAAAATGTTCACCATGAAGAGTACTTGTTAAAGTTCCAACATAAAACCAATTGACAATATGTGGAGTAGCCTAACATGTATTTAAACCATACCAAATTACATGAGATAGGAGATGTGTGACTTTCAACATGCCTCTTCCAACGAAGCCTGCCGGACCAGGCAAATGGTACTTTTTGACCCAACAAAAGGGCAACTTTTGACCCAAGACAACAACTGGAAAGATGTTAGGCTTTGGCTCTGATACCATGTTAAGGTTCCAACATAAAACCAATTGGCAATATGTGGAGTAGCCTAACATGTATTTAAACCATATCAAATGACATGAGGTAGGCGATGTGATACTTTCAACGGTACTCGTAGGAGAAACGTTGGTATTGAACAACACCCACCGAAATAACGTCGGTGTAAACAGTATCCATTGGAAAACACGATAGGGAACAATACTCACTGGACAATGTCAATGTTAAACAATACTAATCGGCAACAAACAGTACCAGTCGGTAATATGTCAACAGTGAAAGATACCCATTGGAAAAATATTAATGATGAATAATGCCTGTTGGAAAAATGTCAACAGTGAATAGTACTCATTGGAAGATATTGGCGGTGAACAGTACCCACCAGAAAAATATCGACCATGAACAACATCCTTTAAAAAATGTCAATGGCAAGCAGTAATCATTACCATAAATTGTTGGCAGTGAACAGTGCTTGTCAGAAAAATATTTACTGTGGATAGTACATGCCAATGCCAAAAAGACTTAACATTACTTGCCAGAAAAACATTGATGGTGAACAAAGAAAAAAATAATTGGAAAACATATACCTTTTCTAAAAAGGATTTTCTATAGGAAAAACACAACTTGAAGTTCCCTTCTCGTTAGACTCTTAATACCATGTTGAAAGGATTAGTGACCAAACAAGTCATTGAGGATGAAACTATGTTGAGAAGAAAGAAACTAAGAAGGAATCTAATAAATTTCGTGTGTTTTGTGTACACATGAGTATTCTTATATACAATGGAGAAGAGATACAATAATAAGGAACAAAATCAGTATCTAATGATGAAAAATATTTAGTGAGATATTTTTCTATCAAATCATATCTTCCTATTTAATTTAATTGAATTATACCTCAAACATAATTAAATCATATCTCTAAAGATACGATTATTTTAAAAATATCAAGATATGATATAAGTACAATTGTGCATATCCAACTTAAAATCACATTTGTTAGATCCGAAGAAAAAGTTATAAATCATTGTTATCATGAACTACTTCTTATTATTTACATATAGGAATAACACTATCAATTTGATTACTTTTTAAAAATAATTCATAAAGAGAACAATTTCCTTCTTTGGTTTATGAAGAGACAAATATTTTAATGTTTCTATTTTATATATACTTGTGTATCTTATAGTTTTATTGGATAAGCATGCTTTAAAAGTGTTGACACTTCAACAAACCTTATAGGTGAAGTATACATAAGTATTGGTATCGAATACATGAAACAAAGTATTTGTGCTTCATAGGTTTGGATACTTTATCATGGACATGTATCGGTGAAGTATCTTAGAGTATTGGGTATGGATAGGTGACACAAATTGAAATATTGGTACATAAGAGGGTACAAGTTATGATAATATCATCAACGTTTAAAGACAGCAGCCATCCTTACTGAGAATAAGGAGACATGGATCACCTCTGCTTCTAACAAAGCCAAAACTATGTGAGTAAAGTGTTTGTCAGCTTGTCATGCCAGGCCCTGGGGTCTTCTTAAGACCATAGACTACCTTTTGCAGCTTGCAAACAGGAGTTGAACACTGGGGGAGTGATCCATGTAGACCTCTTTAAGAAACCATTAAGGAAAGCATGGTTAACAGCATCTTCCTATATGAACTATTTGTGAGTGATGGCAAGGAGGAGAACAAGCCAAAGAGAAACAAGCTTGACAACCAAAAAAAATGTCCTAGTCACAACCATAATTTTTATGAAAGGCCTTTGTTATAAGTCGGGACCTATATTTGTTAAAATTCCACCTGAGTTTTCCTTGATTCAAAACAGAGTTACACCCAACAACAGATATGCCAGGTGGTGAATGAACAAATGTGATCATATCAAGCTGAATGGCTTGCTTCTAATGAGGAAAGAACAAGGCTTGTTTGGTGGAATTTGGTTCAGCAGTGGTAAGTAAAAGAGTGGGGCAGTAGTCTTGGTTTGGAAACACCTTAGTTGGACCTAGTTTCCATGGAATGAGTATTTTAGGAGGAGGAAGACGAGAAGATTCAAGAGACTCTGAGAATCCAATTAATAACAGAAGTGACAGCTAGGATAATAACTAGGCATAACTAACTACAGCAGGCAAAGACTAATCTGCTGCTTACAACAAAAGCTGAAACGCAACCCTCGTGTTTAGTTGCTAAGATTGAGTTTGGAACTCTGAGCAGACTGGCGGTGATAAGCCGAAGGAAGGTGAGGTTGACGTCAAGTCATCATGTCCCTTATGCCTTGGGCGACACATGTGTTACAATGGACGGACAAAGGATTGCGATCCCGCGAGAGTGAGCTAACTCCAAAAATCTGTCCTCAGTTCGGATTGTACACTGCAACTTGTTTGCATGAAGCCGGAATCGCTAGTAATCGTCGGTCAGCCATACGGTGTTGAATTTGTTCCCGGGCCTTGTACACACCGCCCGTCACAGTATGGGAGTTGGCCATGCCCAAAGTTTTTGAAAGTGAAAATTATCAGTTTTTTCTAAACTCATTAAAAGTGACTAATTATGTTTTTTTTTTCTTTTTTATTCTCTCTCCTTTTAACAGGTATAGAATGCTGGTTTATCTAAAGTACTGCTTTACAGGTCTTCCCTTTCCCCCAGGTAATATTTTTCCATTATTTATAATCTTTCTTTATTTCCATTTACTTTTTCCTGCTTTAAAAATATTACGATAATACTACATAATATAATAATTCATCTGATGCATATAATTGTAGGCCGTGGAACTATACCTCCCACACGTTTACCATCTCTTAGAAGAGAACTTGTAGAGTTTTTGTTAAAGGACTCATGTACGTCAAAATCTCAGATAATTTCAGACTTTGTCTCCAGACGACTGCACCCGAATCTTTATCTTCTCTTAAAGTTAGACACTGAAGCTACATTAGATGTTCTCAGATGTGCTTTCTTGGGGGATGAAATTTCAAATGCCTGCTCAGCTTCACCGGATTCAGCCAATAAACCTATAGAGGAAGAAAGAAAGGAAGACAATGTTACTGAAACTCAAAATGCTTTGATTCAGAACACAGTTGATGCTCTCATTCAAATAATTGATATGAATGTTGTTCTGACAGATACAACCTTTAGTAGTGGTGATGATGGGTTGACAAAAGAGTGGCCTTCCAAGGACATAGGTTATCTGTTTGAATTCATTGCGTATTATGTTTCTCTCCAAAGAGCTAAGATTTCAAAGGGTATGCTGTGTCAAATATTGAAATATTTGACATCTGACAGTCACTTCTCTACCAATATTTCTGTTCATGGTTCAACTCCAAAAAATAGAGAGAAGCAAGTACTTGCACTTTTGGAAGTACTTCCAAAGTCAGACTGGGATACGTCATTTGTGCTAGATCTATGTGAGAGAGCCAAATATCATCAGGTAGGTATATTGTTCATTTTGGTGATACCGTCTTCAGAAGCACAGTGATACCAAATATAGGCTTTTTATCTGATTGAGTAATTTTACCAGCTCTATTCTTTTAGGTTTGTGGATTTATCCATAGTATCAGACATGAATATGTGGCTGCATTGGATAGTTATACGAAAGATGTAGAGGAACCTGTTCATGCCTTCTCCTTTATTAACAAAGCATTATCACAGTTGACTGACAATGACCGGGTAGCATTTCGGTCAGCAGTCATATTGCGAATTCCTGAATTGGTTGAACTAAGCAGGTAATCCTTACTCTAATAAGCTGGATTCTTTTTGTAGATTTTGCAGCAATTATGATGTGTATATTTCAATTTATGTAACCAATCATCTTAATTTACGTTTACTCAATTTGGTTGCTAGGGAGGGTACATTCCATGTGGTTATCAGTCATTTTAGTGAAGAAAGTTCCCGTATCATAACTGAACTTCACTCTCATCCAAGAAGTCTTTTTCTTTATTTAAAGACACTCGTTGAGCTTCACTTATTTGGCACCCTAGACTTGTCTAATTTGAGAAAGGAGGATACTATGAATCCCCTTAATGGAAGGAAGGTTAAGGAGCACCCTGAAGGAGTCAGACAGTACTTAGAGAATTTATCCAATTTCCCCAAGTACATGCGGGAAAAAACTATTCATGTGCCTGATGATCTTATTGAGCTTTACCTTGAGGTGAGCTTTTGCACCAAGGCCTTTGCATGGCACGACTAATTTGATATTTAATTTTGTTGTTTTTACCATCTAGAACTAACTGTTAAGGAACAGTGTTGCTATTTTTTTATATTTTTCTTTTTGGGGTGCACCAATGGTTAGTAGTTATTGCTTTCTATCTCCTTTAAAACTTAATGTCTCATGGGATTGGATATACATACTTCATTTCACTTCTTTTTATTTATTTATTTAGAGTTAATCAATACTCTTTAAAAATGTTTTTCTGTATTGAGGGAATTTGTTGCTGTAATTGTAGCAGGAACTTAGTTTTTTTTATCTCATTATTTAATTTTGCAGTTATTATGCCAGTACGAAGGTAATTCAGTTCTCAAGTTTCTGGAAATGTTTGATAGCTATCGAGTTGAACATTGTTTACGTCTCTGCCAAGAATATGGCATTATAGATGCAACTGCATTCTTATTAGAAAGGGTTGGTGATATTGGTAAAGCTCTTTCACTTACTCTTTCTGATCTAAATGATAAATTCCTTGAGCTTGATGCTGCTGTGGAAGCTGTAGTTTTAAACCATCGCAGAGGTGGTTCTTCGCGTGTGGATGTATTCGACTCTGTTTTAAGAACAAAGGAGGTATGTTATCTGTTCCTGAAACTATAACACTTCAATGAAGCTCTGAAGATGCAAGTATGCTTTGATCGGTGTGCTTGTAAGTTTGTATCTAGTTGTTGTCCTAATTTTTTTAGTGGTTACTAATGAAATAGGGAAGTGACATCCACAATCTATTGCGTGCCTGTATTGGTCTGTGTCAGCGGAACACCCCTCGTCTAAATCCTGAGGAGTCAGAAGCACATTGGTTTAACTTACTTGACTCGTGAGTTTAATATCAATTTACATTTCCTTCCTTTCATCTGTTTTTATTTATTAATTTATTTGAGGTTTAATTACGTGAGTTCTGCCCCGCCAACCCCCCAAAGAATCATGATATTACAAATCCACTTGCATGCTTTACAGTTCACAATATCCTTGATGAGATGCATAAAGAAAAAAAAGGTTCGCGTTTATGCTGTTTATCCTGTGAAAAATAGAAATTAGGTACTAAAAGTAAAATGGTCAGTTTATTGGTTTAAGAAAAAAGTCACGGTTCCAAAGTATTCCTAATTTCTGTCTAGAGCACACTCTTCATTTAGCAGTTGATCTTAAAAAAACATTGTTCAGCACTGATTTTGTAGCGGAGAGCAGTGCTTGATACATATCAAATTGGATGTGTATTTCATGTTGCATGACTTATTTAACATTAAAAACAATGAAATTGTAGGTATAACATTTTACAGGCATCACTAATCACTTTAAGGGACTCGAAATCTGAATTATAGGGAGGTAACAGTGAACTCTATTACTTTTATAAATGTGGTTTGGCAAAGAAAGAGCATATCTTGTTTTTATGAGGACCTCCTTTCTTGCATTTTAGACTATAACCCTTGTTAGATATCCCACATAATTTATAGATAGGACCAAGTATGGTATATAAGTAGAGAGCAAGCTTCACTTTATATAATCTAGTTTTGTAGAGTTGAGTAAGGTTTAAACTAAAAGCCTAAAATGATATTAAAGTTTATCCTACTGATTGTTATTGAGCTATATGCTATAGTGTTATCAAACGACCCATCGATGTCTTGTTTTGCAAATTTCATGTTTGAGAAATCCAATCTTGAAAATGAGGAAGGTTTGTTGGAGATCTTACATTGATTAGACATGTGACCAAAATATAATATATAACTAGAGAGCAACTCTTACTTTACAAGTTAGTTTTGCAGTAGCCAATTAGGTCCACCTATGATGATTCTACACCTAAACGAGTTTGGTCCAGATACCTCACGGTTTTACCCATAAAAAGAAAAATAGTATAGGAGTGATTTTTTTTTTTTCATTTTTGTGACATTATAGCTGAGTTTTTTATGTAAAATGGGTAAAGCAAGACTTTTTTACCATAAGGTGACAGATGTCCATGGCTGTACGTAATAATCAAATGAACTAAATGTCTGAAGAACACGCATTCCTAAACTTTTGGTCCTGACATCTGGGAGCTTTCTATGTTAATTGTCATTTTCCTTCATTGTCATTCAGGTTCTGTGACCCATTGGTTGACTCAAATGTTGAAGAAAGAACATATGAAAGTAAGAATTATTTTGGAATGCTATCTGGGTCAGCAGATTCACAGCAGGACAAGGATACCTATAAATGCAGTTGGAAAATTTCGAAGTCCCGGAATGGTCATATCTTGAGAAAATTGCTATCACAGTTCATTAAAGAGATTGTAGAGGGAATGATTGGCTTTGTTCACCTTCCGAAAATTATGTCTAAACTTCTGTCTGATAACGGTAGTCAAGAATTTGGTGATTTTAAACTTACAATATTGGGAATGCTGGGAACATATGGCTTTGAAAGAAGGATTCTGGTAAGGTTAACTTGTTCAATTATGTCTGTTTATATTTTTAGTTTGTTTCACTGGTCAAGATTTATGAAGTGTATTGATCTTCATACCTTTCCAATTAAAATTGATTGATTGATAGTGTTGTGAAAAAGTGCTGTAAGAAACATGACCAAGATTCATTCAAGCTAAGTTCTTACTCTATGATCTTTTTGTATTTGTTAGCAATTCAATGGGAGTTAAGAGATTGTTCTAAACTTGCACCCATACATGAGTTTTATCATGCACAGGTCTGAAGGATGCCACTAATTGAGAAATAGTTGTTTGGTGCATTTTATTTATCTCATCCACTGTGCTAATTTTTTACTTTGATCAATTGTTTATCTGGATGTGTTAACTTGTGGCATTTCTGAGGACAAAATTTAACCAGACATGTAAAAATAACTTCGGTATAGAATATAAAATTTTGATTGTCAAATTAGCGTTTCTTCTTTCTATACAGGGAAAAAGTAATTTCATTTTCTCTTCATCCTTAAGGGGTTTTATGTTTTTGTCCTGACTCTCTTCTCCTGTTGCTACTTCTGTACTTAGGATGCTGCCAAATCGTTAATAGAGGATGACTCGTTTTATACTATGAGTTTACTCAAGAAAGGGGCCTCCCATGGATATGCTCCCAAGAGTCTCGTGTGCTGTATTTGTAATTGCCTTCTTACAAAGAACAATGTTACTGCTGGAATTCGGATTTTCAACTGTGGCCATGCAATTCATCTTCAATGTGAAGTTTCGGAAGTTGAGGCATCAAGCAAAGGATCTTCGTCGGGATGCCCTCTATGCATGCCTAACAAGAAATTCCAGCAGTCCCGAAACAAATCAATCATTGTAACGAATGGCTTGGTCAATAAATTCTCATCAAGGCGCCAATACCCCCATGGAAGTACCATTCATCCTCATGACAGTGATTTAACAGAGAATATGTATGGACAACAACAGATATCACGGGTAAAAAAAAACAAATCTCTGTATAATCTCATCAATATAGGCCTTGTTCAACTTCCAACACATTTGTATTGAATATTTTTCTGCAGTTTGAGATCTTGAGCAACCTGCAGAAAAATCAGAGATTTATGCAAATAGAAAACTTGCCTCAGCTGAAGCTTGCCCCACCTGCTGTGTACCATGAAAAGGTAAGTAAAGTTGCAAACTTTCTGACAGGCGAAAGTAGCAACAGTTCTTCTGCTATTGAGAAAGAAAGTAGAAACAAGCAAAACCGGGAGCTAAGAGTTAAGGGTTCATCGATTCGATTTCCTTTAAAATCAAGTATATTTGGTGAGTAATGTTATTTAAGGGGGAAAATTATGGTTTCTCTTTAATAATGCTTAATCCTGACACTAGGGAAACTTTTCTGCAGGCAAGGAGAAGACAAATAAGCGGTGACTAACTTTTTTGAGAAAAAGGAACAACTTTTTTGAGAAAAAGGAACAACGTAGGCAAAAGAGAACAAGCACTGACAACTGTACAGACTAACAATAGATAGCTTCAGTGTAGCTCAGCTCAACCCATTGGTATTCTTTTGTATTTTATTATCCGAATGTACATTTTACTAGCTCTTGTATCTAATTCTTAAAGTACACATAGTTTTGTATTTACGTGTACAATAGAAAAGCCATCTTAGTGAGTTTGAGATGTTCTAATCATACCATGAGCAAACAAGCCATTTCTATCTTTCCTTTTCCTTTTTTTTTCGCTTGTGTGATTTGTTTTTTCTTCCTCTCTTTTGTCAGACAAGCGTCATTCATTTTCTTTCCCACACCGTGTAATTTTTATGTTGTTGGGATGATTGTGCCATGGTGATGATTATTCAGCAAAATGTCCTAAAATGCTCAAGTTGTGCATAACATGTTATTGGAAGCACTATATGCATATATATGTTTACAAAAAATTGTGGGGTATACTGCTTTGTAACATTAAATCGGGATAAAACTGGTATCATCTGAGTAATTAAATTGGGATAAAATTGGTATTGGTTGGATTTATAAGTAGAATTAGTTTTGATAAAAAAAAATATGATCAAATTTTTTTAATATATACTTTTTAAGAAAATATAATATTTTTTTTATTTTATATTAGTTTAACCAATTCTAAATAATAATTATTTTATTATATTTTTATCTTATTTTATCATTTATTTATTTTTTACCTTCTAATATTATAATTTTAATTATAACTTATGGTAATTATTACAGTAATTCTTTTTCTTTTTATGGACTCCATTAAATTTTTAAACCTTCAAACCATGTTTTCACCATTTCAAATTTTAAAAACATTAAAAAAAATGCAATGAAATGCTCTTTTGAAATATTTCCTTGCAAAGCACTGAGACCCGTTATTTTTCTTTTCTCACGAATTGTAGGATATTTTGGGTTCAAAATATAGGTAAATTTATGACTCGAAAATACTACAAAGAAAAGGGCCCAACCGGGTTCGAACCGGTGACCTCTTGATCTGCAGTCAAATGCTCTACCACTGAGCTATGGACCCTTGGAATTAATATTTCAGACATGTTAATTTATATAAATAAATTTATCTCTCATTTATAATTATTTACCGATTTACAATTTATCCCAATAGTTTCAAAACCAGAGATATTATTAAAAAAAGATTTAAAAATTAAATTTAATAAAATTATATTTTTATAATATAATAAAGTCATTAATATTAATATTTTATTTAAATTAATAAAGATTTGTATCATAATTATAATAAATTATAATAATAATTAATTAAAGAATGAACGATATATAATAGTTAAAATAAAATAAAAATTTAATAAAATAATAATTATTTAAAATTTATGCAATTACTGTAAAAAAAAAGTAATATATTTTTTATAAAAAATTATATTCAATTTTTTAATTTTGATTTTTTTAACTAAAATCAATTAACTAATTTTTTTAATTTTATTGATTTTTCTGATTTTATACGAGTTCAATTAAAATAACATACCAATTTTTTTTAAATGATTCAGTTAAAGCATTCAGATTTAAAAATAAATTTCATGCTTCCCTCCCTGTTCAGTTAAAATAAATTTCACGTCTAATGAAGGAGGTCACGGTATCAATGAGAAATAAGGATTTAATTATAATTTTAAAAAATTATTACAAATAAGTGCAGTTATAATTTATTCAATAAATAAATATTTTTCACCATGGTTGTATTAATTTTTTTAAACAAAATGTCTTAAAGTAAGTTTTATTTTTTATAACAAAATGTCATTTCTAATATAACTCCAATTTTTCAAAGAGTTTTTAACAAAATTTTGTTTTTAAATTGATAATTAGAGGTGAGTTCCCGTGGACAGTCTCCGAACAATTAAAGGCCAATTAGATTTAAGGAGAGTTGATTATAATATTAGTCATATATATAATCCAATGTAAATAAAAAATTAAATATTTTTAATTTTTTATGTTTAATATTTAATAAGGAGATTCCTACACTTTAGCTAGTGTCACAAATTCATACGTTGTTCCTAGTATCTTTGTGTACCTCTGTTTCTGGTGAAATTTTGATCGATTTCGATTTTTAACGGATTTTGTTCTAACCAAATTCCAACCACGTAGATTCTTTTTACTTAGGCTAGCAAACGATTTTCAATCGAAATATGTATGAGAGTCGAAAGTACCACAGATCTCAATGTAACCTAATGACAATCGAAAACACTATTTTTGGTATTTTGTATTTAAAGCACTCGAAATGAAAAAAACAGTAAAAATATCAAATCGAAAAGCAATACAAAATATAAAGCTGCGAAGAAATATTAAATTGCAGAAAATGTAAAGTGCGAAAACCTCAAAATTGCATTAAGTGTAAATGGCAAGGAATCGAAAATTGCAGGATTGTAAATAAGCAAAAAATCGAACTTTGCAGAAAAATAGACAACAGGAAATCGAAATTGCACAATCGGTAAATGATAAGTAATTGAAAGTACATGAACTTAAAGTTGCTTGAACATAAACTGCATCAAAGTAAATAACATGAACATAAATTACCAAGGAAAGTAAAGAAAGCGATAAAGGCAGTCAATGAAAATGGAAATCCAGATCGCCAGAAACTTCATGATTGCGTCGTTCTCTAGTAGACTTCTCACTAATATTTCTGTTCTCTCTGCCAATTCCCCTCTTCTTTTCCAGTCCTCGCTCTATTTATAGAGCATCCTTCAAGTGACCTCCCAAGAGTGGTTAATACCACTATCACCACGATCCTACGTGCCCGTTCCTTTAGTTTTACAGTTTAAAAACTGCACTCCACGTTCTTACGTATAAGAGAACTGCTCCTCCTTCGATCTCAGTTGCGGTTTAAAAACTGTTTCCCACGTTCCCTGTGTGTGTTAACCGTTCCCTCGATCTCGATTTCAGACATCGAGTATTTTAAATTTTGTTTTTGATTCCCTTTAATTTTGTACTATTCTAACTTCAACAATAGGCATCGAAATTTGTTTCTTCGATTCTCGATTTTGATTCTCGATGTACTTTTATCTTTGTGGTTACCAGTTTTTACCAATTACATCGAAAATACGTTCTCGATGTCTTTTACCAATCGTATGGTCTTCGATTTTTCCTTTCCTTCATTTTTCGATCCCTTTATCGATTTCCTATTAACAGAATGCCCCCCTTGGAAGAATATAAAAGTTTGTATTTATATTCTTTCAACATGATTCCCGCCTTTTGGAGGCCCATCAGAACTTAGGGTTTAGGGTTGCTGGGGTTTTAGGGTTTTTCCACTTTATGTCACCTATCATGTCAGTTCTGCCGCCTCATTGCACACGCCACATTAATTACCCTTCACCTCCGTCGCTTCCAGTACCCTAGTTAGTTTCTTTAAACATTTGTTTAACCTTTTCACCCTTGTTTTTCACCACGAACTTTACTCCTCCTCTGCATCTTCGTCTCCTACCTTGCACCTTTGTCTTCAACCTTGAACCTTCATCCTCAAACCTTCTGTTCTTCTCTATTCTACCTGCTAGTGAAATGACAACCTCATCCAAATCTTCTGACTTTTCTGCCCCACCCCTTCCCTCGTTGGCCGCTAACCTGCTAAAAATTAATAACTAGAAATTTGCTCCAGTTCCTTTGTTGGAGGAAGCTTCTCAGAAAGTTGCTGAGACGCAGGTACTGATTCCTTACACTGCTGGTGATGTAAATTATGCTTTTGGGGGTCCTATCCGTTCTTGTAGCGGATCTTTTTCTTCCATCAATCTTTCTTCCAAGAGTCAGGCTCCCATTCATCAATCTGAAGTTCGAATTGATTTTTTAAACATTGTATCCAAAGTATACCGTACGGGCCCTCCCCACAAAAAATCCATGTATGTTAGGTGGTTTGATCGAGTAAAAACAAAGTTTGGGAACCATTGGAAAGATGTGGGGATCTTCGATTTTCTGCATCTGTCTCGATGCGATTTATCTTACTTGGATATGACTATGTTCTTGTCAGCTGTCCATCTTTGGAACAAGGACTTACATGCTTTGGAATTACCTTGTTTCACCTACCCTCTTTGAGATTGCTGCTATTACCGGACTAAAACCCATAGGGGAAAAATATTTTAAGGGTGTTTTTCCTTCGGATAATTCTTTAAGGTCAAACATTGATTGGGAATCGAAGGCGTATGGACATTTTATCGAAAAGCACTTCGTCGATGATCCATCTATAGTTGTAACTGATGAGGAGCATATAGCCTTCCTAGTGTATTGGCTATGTATTCATGTTTTTTGCCCCCGATCCATCCAAATTTCATCCCAACTTTATAACCTTGCTTATCTCCTACACACGGGCCAGCCTCGAATTTGTTTAGCAAAACTTTTATTAGCCCATGTATATACTGCTTTTGATGAAGCCGTCGAGATTTTGAATACCCCTAGGGCTTCGGGAAATTTTTCGGGTCCTATTTGGTTTATCCAATTATGGCTAAACTCGATTTTTGAAAGTATCCTCCCCCCAACTTCCCAGATACCCCCAAGTTTAAATTTAGAGGGTGCTCGATTATCCTCTCGTTATCCCCGCCATAAATCCGACGAGACCACCTATCGTGATTACCTTAGATTTTTGTTAACTCAATCTCATTTTGGTCTGCATTTGGCTCCTTTTACTGTGAATCTCGGACGAATAAGTGACCAACTTCGAGGACCAGCGTGGTTTAAATCGAAATTTCCTGCTCTTACTCCGGGACTACAGTCAGAACTGGTCGAAGTATGGAGCAATTATTTGACTAAAGATGTATTAGTATCGAGTTTTCATTCAAAGGACCTTCAGCTTGTCACTTATTACCCTCAACTTTTCTCGAGACAGTTTGGTTTGAGTCAAGCCTTACCTTTTTTCCCTCTCGATACTTCCCTAAGGTCTAGTTAAGTGAATCGACAATCGGACGGGAGCTCTCCAAACTG